CCTGCCTCCCGCAATCCGTTCAGCCCCACCAACGGCCTGCGCTGCATCTGCCGCTAATTCTCAAGTCCCATCCCACGGCCTTCTCACCTAGCCGGCGTTCCTAAGCAAACCGCTCGGCTTCTTCTGCCATCCGTTCAGTAGCGCACCCAACCCTGGCAGTGAACGGGTTCTCCTCCTGGACCGGTTCCGATTGGCTGGCTCCGGACCAATGCTACACTTTGGAAGAGCGATAGGATAGAGGGACTGTCTGTCAGACTCGGAGGCGCGGACCGGGCCGCACTCTCGCTTTTTAATTGGTCAACACAGCCGTCACTTAGCAGTCTGGAGGCGGGACTGTGCGCTCCCGCCGAGCTGTCATAGGCTTGCGCGTGAGAGTCAAGAGCGCGGAAAGAACGCGCCGCGAGCAGTTTGGTTGAGGGCCGAGGAGTTACGTGTCGGTCTACTGACTGAGCGGCAGTCGCGGTGGGAACGTGTGGACCTGTTGGCGGGTCACCTGACCGGAAGCGGAAACCACGCTGCCGTGGAATAGCAGATACCTCAAATCTCCAACAGTAGGACTGTCAAGTCGCTCGTCTTCGTTTTGGAGCAATTTTTTTTGAAGGTAGAAATTTATCATTATAGAATATAAGGTGAAAGGAGAAGACGGAAGAATTTACTGCCTATTCTCAATGAAAACTCAAATGCTACGTGGTCCTGACTGCTCCGTTCTTGTACAAATTTGTGTGACCTTTGGCTCCAGAGGTGACTATTTGCTGCTGTACTCCAGTAATTCATAGATCTGGGAGCCCTGACAGGTTTCACCATGCACTTTCGTGTCTTCAGTCCCTGACGCTGTGAAAGAGCGTGCAAAAGGCTGAGGGGACTGGCGGGGTTGAGCTGGAAGCATTGCCACTGCCCAGCTGAGACAAAGTTCTCTTCCCTAGCGGTAGAAGGGACTCTTCGAGGGTACCGGGAGGCAACCCAGTCATACCCATACCTGCCAGAAAGAGCTTTCCCTACTCTTGCCTACTCTACCTACTTGCCTTTCTGCCCCCTGTCCTCCCCAGTGGAAAAAAAAAAACATTGCTGAGCGAAGGGAAGAGAACGGATGTTAGAGCAGCAATTCCGTCGTCTGTCATTCTTGCCTCAGTAAGCAAAGGCTACACAAAAGACAATGGGACCTCCAGCAAGTTCAACTATGGTGCCAGCACCACTCACATTCCCTTGTACTCTGTCCAATGAAGTGAACTGATCACACTTAATGAAAACACATTATTTAAATCCGTGCTTTAAAATCATGGGTGTTTTTCAAAATTCACATGACCAGGCTCATCTCAGAACATTATGATTCAACAAATCTACCTCTTTTTCTTTTTAATTTTAGATTTTAGGTGTAACTTTAACAGAAGGCAACTGAAGCTGAACCTGAAGGAACTACAGAACTTTAAGTAAATGCTTCTGCAAAACAAGAGTTTTCTCTTTACAAAGAGGGGAAGGTTATTAAAATTAGGAAGATTTTTTTAAACAGAAAAATATTAAGATGTTGGGGTTCTCGTTAATTTATTAAATTATTAAACACGTTTCTTAAAGGGAATACGTTTTAAGTTTCTAAGTGAAGTCAGCTTTTTCAGAAGTCAAAATATACGGGGTGGGGAACTCTAACAAATGCAAACATTGTAACCTAATTGATCTGAAATTTTAAATCAAAATATACCACTGAGGAACAGAATCTAAAATCTAAGCCTGTATTAAGGATGAGTCTTTTTTTGATACAGAGTCTCAAGTTGTCACCCTCGGTAGAGTGCCATGGCATCATAGCTCACAGCAACCTACAACTCTTGGACTCAAGCCATCCTCTTGCCTCAGTTTTTCCATTTTTAGTAGAGACGGGGTCTCACTTTTGCTCGGGTTGGTCTCAAACTCATGAGCTCAAGCATTCTACCCACCTTGGCCTCCCAGAGTGTAAGGATTACAAGCATGAGTCACTGCTCCCAGCCAAGGATGAGTCTTTGATACCAGTCATGAGGAAAGGCTTATCTATAAATAAAATCAAAGTAAGGAAAACAAGGTCATGGAAATACATAAACTTATGGCTACCTGTATTATCATAATTATTACAAATAAACCTAGAGATTTTACATGAGTTTAGCGTATCAGTTAATCCTCCACACTCCTGACTTACAAGACCAAAAGTTTTGACCTCATTCATGTTTCAGAAATCACACTTTTTACCATTCTATCAATTACTTAAAAGAATGCCTTCTAGGAATCATGACTTTCTTGTAGAACTTTTGGTCTTTCCTAAATTGTTGATTTACTTTCCTTGTATATCTTTGATCAAAAGAAATACATGGAGGCTGGGTATGGTGGCCCACACCTGTAATCCTAGAACTTTGGTGGATTACTTGAGGCCAGCAGTTGGAGACCACTCTGAATAAGATCAAGACCCTGGCTCAGCGCCTATAGCTCAACCGGCTAAGGTGCCAGCCACATACACCTAAGGTGGCGGGTTCGAATCCCCAGCCTGGACCCGCCAAACAACAATGACGGCTGCAACCAAAAAATAGCCGGGCGTTGTGGCGGGCGCCTGTGGTCCCAGCTACTTGGGAGGCGGAGGCAGGAGACTCGCTTGAGCCCAGGAGTTGGAGATTGCTGTGAGCTGTAATGCCACGGCACTCTACCCAGGGGGACAGCTTGAGGCTCTGTCTCAAAAAAAAAAAAAAAAAGATCAAGACCCTGTCTCTACTAAATATAGAAAAAAATAGCCAGACTGGGTAGTGCATGCTGTAGTCCCGCTACTGGAAGGCTGAGGCAGCAGAATCAGTTGAGGCCAGAAGTTTGAGGTTGCAGTGAGCTATGATTATGCCACTGCACTCTATCCAAGACTGCCTCCAGAAATAATAAAAAGTCTTCATCTCATCTGTAACACAGCAGACTTAACAGTATCTGAACATGTTCTTCCTAGAACTCACTGTTTTTGGGAGAACCCACCTCTCTAAGTGTGCTACAAAGCTGTGTTACTGGGCTTTTCCCCCCTCAATGCACTTACAGATTCCAATGCTTTAATAAGACATATTTCTATTTCTTGGATTTTTCATTTTTAATGGATTTCTTTTTTTTTGTTTGTTTTCTTTTTTTTGAGACAGAGTCTCAAGCTGTTGCCTTGGGTAGAGGTGCTGTGGCATCACAGCTCACAGCAACCTCAAACTCTTGGGCTTAAGTGATTCTTTTGCCTTAGCCTCCCAAGTAGTTGGGACTACAAGTGACCACCACAATGCCCAGCTATTTTTTGGTTCTAGTTGTCATTGTTTGGCAGGCCCGGGCTGGCTTCAAACCCAGCAGCTCCAGTGTATGGCTGGCACCCTAGCCGCTGAGCTACAGACACCAAGCCTGGTTACAAATTATTAGTCTGCCCCAAACTGCCATTCTGAACTTAGCAAAATCAGAGCCTCATCTCTGTTCAATACCAATTTCCTAATCACTGTTCTCTGTGCTCATACCCTAGTAAAAGGCAAAAAAAAGTTTTGTGTGCATAGATCATTTGAGATCGTTACCATACAGCTATTATTACAGATATACTTAATGTAAACTTTATATAGGGTTGGCCTCTTAATTTCACTAATAAAACATTGATTCCCTCACTTACAGTCACTTAAACTTCAGGTATTTTCTATAGCCAGGCACAGTGCTGAGTATAAAATCGTGTTCCTTCATCCACTCAACCTCCCTCACCCTTCTAAACTGAAATACTTCTACATGGTACAAACAGAAATTTTAGGCAGCAAAGAGGTGGCTACTTAAATAAGGTTATTTTTAAACCTGAGTTTCAAAAACTAAGCTTAAACAAGGAAATCCCTGATCAGTTACAAACTGATAAAATACTAAGGTCTTCTTCAAACCACTCCCAAAGCAACCTGGAAGTAGTTCTGTCCAATACTGTCAAATGACCAGAGATGTCATAGGGGAATGCTGAAAGTAAATCCTATTTTAAATCGTCTTACAATTTTTTGTGCACAAGTTAGAAACCATGATCACTTCGAAGATGCCCACTGTTTTAAATGCCTCCTTCCATCAATTACATAAGCACTTCAAACTTGGTTTGCAACTGCCAATACCGATTTTTAATCCCACATTTCATCTCACACATAGTAAAGGTTTTTTGTTTTTTGTTTTTTTGAGACAGAGTTTGACTATGTCGCCCTTGGTAGAGTGCCTTGGCATCACAGCTCACAGCAACCTCAAACTCTTAGGCTTAAGTGATTCTCCTGCCTCACCCTCCCAAGTAGCTGGGACTACAGGTGCCAGCCACAACGCCCGGCTATTTTTGTTGTTGCAGTTGTCATTGTTTAGCTGGCCCAGGCTGGGTTTGAACAGGCCAGCCTGGGTGTATGTGGCTGGCGCCATAACCACTGAGAAATGAGTGCCGCCCAGTAAAGTTTTCTTTTAACCAAATGCTTAATCTCTTCCCTTGACTAATGGAATGTTGAATACACTGGAATCTAGAAAAGTCTATCTCCCTCATGAATACATGGTACAGATGTACATATAGACTAAAACAAAAAACACAATAATCCCAGAGTCTTTCACAAGATGTAAACATGATTATAGTCATATAATCCAAACTTTCTCAAGGAACACATTTCAGGGCAAGTCTCTGAAAACTATAACCAAATTATCTGACAGAAAGTCTTGTGTTCCACGAATGCATTTTTTTTTTTTTTTTTGGTAGAGACAGAGTCTCACTTTACCGCCCTTGGTAGAGTGCCATGGCGTCCCACAGCTCACAGCAACCTCCAAATCCTGGCCTTAGGTGATTCTCTTGCCTCAGCCTCCCAAGTAGCTGGGACTACATGCACCTGCCACAATGCCTGGCTACTTTTTTGTTGCAGCTTGGCTGGGGCCAGGTTTCAACCTGCCAACTTCAGTATACGGGGCTGGTGCCCTACCCACTGAGCCACAGGCACTACCCAACACAAATGCATTTCTCAGTGTCATAATTTGTAAATTCCATCACTACACACTTTGTGGGAAACCAGCTCACGTTTAATTGTGAAATTTTAAAATTGTACAAGTATTTTGACATTTCCCCCATATTTAGTCTCTGATGACAGGAAAATACCAACCAATCATAGGATTTCATGGGTTTAATAAGTTTAACCCCTTCAGTTCCTATTTGCAGCACCCAATATTCCTCTGCAATACCAGACAGACCCGGCAGGGGCCAACAATAAATTTCTGTTCCCCCAGAGTTTAAAAGTTCAGGTCTCTGAGTATCATGTTGCAGTGGCACTTGCCAAAATTGGTACCTCCCCATAATTGAGGGGTTTTAATGTACCAGTGATTTTCCCCTTCAAGGGGAAGAAAAAAATCACTCCAAAACCTAGCAGATTGGGCTGTGAGGTCTTTCCTCCTGTCCCATCTATCTCTTCATCTCTTCAGGCTCTTTTAATTTTTCTTTTTCTTTTTTTCTTTTTTTTTTTTTTTTTGCAGTAGAGCAAGAGAGACCAAATCCTAACCTGAGTTACAAGAAACAAGACAGTGATGGCTATAAAAGGAGTGACCAGGAGCAACTGAGATCCTCCTTTACCTCCCACATCCAATGTATGTGCTTCACAGAAAAACAACAAAAATAACAAATCCACAAAATACAACAGCTAGAATTACAAAACCCATTCATCCCAGGGTGGTGGAAGGCAGGAAAGTAGGAGGGTAAATGGCACAGGGAGAAAACAAAATCCAGGCACAGGGGATGGCAAAGGCTAGAAAATAGCTGCAGAAAAACCTGTGGTCCTTTCAGACTCAGGCGCTGTTAAGAAACCACACACTGGTGTCAGGAAGATTCTGCCTTATGTGCACCGGAGACAAACCTTCCAATTCTTCAGAGAGAAGGGAATATGCAGAAGGCCCCTGGCAGCCTCCCTCAACTCCCACCCATCCCCTCTGGGTGGCAGGCAGCTCAGTGGCCTGCAGCAGCTTTCGGTTTGGCAGGAGATGGATGTGGCGAAGGGATCGTCTCTGCAGAGGTTGAGCTGCTCAGGGCAGACTGCAGGTACACGGTCTTGTGGAAGAGTCGGTTGCTTAAGAAGACCACCAAGGAGAAGAGTCGCAACTGGAAGAGGCTAAAAGACAAGAGACGTGACTTCTCAGCTTCCCAGCGATCAAAATTATCGTTTCAGTTATGTGATAGCTTATTTGACTACACTAAATTTAAAACTACACAGGAAAAGACTGAAATGTGATCAAGGAAGTAAGGATATTAACCATAGGGGCTGAAAAAGCAATTAAAAAACACACTGGGGCCTTTGCATTTTGGCTGTAGAAGAAAAGGTAATTTACCTAGTGGGTCCTGCTATTGCCATGAGTGCAACACCAGTTTTTAAATACTGGGACGCTTAGAAGAAATAAAGTTGTATTTCAGATTAATTCTGACTCGATAAGTACTCTTTTAAGGCTGGCTTTAGGGCATAAACTTCAAGCTATCTCTGAAGATATCATATGCAACCTCCTGTTTCAGAAAGAAGAGTTTCAAGAGAAAGTCAATTATCCCTCCTAAGATAACACAGTGAGCACTGCTAGATAGCAAGAGTATGCAAAAACCGGAAACAGACTCAAACTTCCTCCTTGACTTAACCAAAGTTGATAGAAGATTAAATGTCTAAACCAGGGGTCCTCCAACTTTATTTAAACAGGGAGCCAGGTCACTGTCCCTCAGACAGTTGGAGGGCCAGACTACAGGCCCCCAGACGAGTTGGCTGCTAAGCAGGACAGACAGCGGCGGCAAAAACACCCAGTGGGCCGGATAAATTTCCTAGGCAAGCCGCAAGTGCCCTCGGGCTATAGTTTGAGGACGCCTATCTAAACTGTTCCTTGAAGTGGTAAAATTTTTAGAGTGGTGTTATTATTGCTAAAAATTCCTTTCAAAATATTTTATCTCATCAATAAACTACTACTATCATATAGTCTACTACTTTTTAGAAAAGCTGGCCATTCTCTCAAAAATGAGCCTAACTACAGATGTTTACAAATATCTTATATTCAGTGAATTTCTAAATATTAAGACTATATAGACTAGGCATGGTGGCTCACACCAGTAATTCTAGCACTCTGGGAGGCCAAGGCAGGAGGATCACTTGAACTCAGGTGTTGTGAGACTAGCCTGGGTAAGACTGAGACCTCAACTCTACCAAAAATAGAAAAAATCAGCCAGGTGCATAATAGGTACCTGCAGTCCCAGCTACTTGGGAGGCTGAAGCAAGAGGATCACTTGAGCCCAAGAGTTTGACACTGCTATGAGCTATGATGACACCACAGCATTCTAACCTGGGCAACAAAATGAGACTCTGTCTCAAAAAGAAAAAAAGAATATATGTAACAGAATCAATTCTTAGAACTACATAATAATGGTCATATCATAGGAAAAAGTTTGAGATGTAGCTTAGAAGTGTTCCTCTCTCTTTAAACTTCTATAGTAAGGTTTTCCTTACTATTTCCTTACAGTGTAACAAGTTATTTAAAAGAAAGAAAAGGCTCACTTGATCTAATTGTCGAGTTACCACCCCAACCACCCCAGTCCTTCACAAAGCAAAAATTTCACTGATTGGCTAATACTACCCTTTTCCGGGGTCTTTGCTGATTGGCTAATACTTACTATGCTTTTCCAGGGGTCTTTGCTTCATTGGCGCTGATAATGAATAAAGGAAAGAGGATAGAGAAGAGGCAGCCACTATTAAAAATAAAAAGAGAGAGAGAAAAGAATTAGTCATCTTCATAACAGCCACAACATTGAAGATATGAGAAGCCCAAAATTCCTTTGCCTCCAGTGTAAACATCATGGTTTGATAAAACCTTTACATGAAATGCACCTTTCAGAAAGCACAAAAGATTTGTCACAGGGGGTATGACAGTACCAGGGAGAAACACAGGAGGAAGAATAGGAGACATGAGGAGAAATGGACTAGATTTTAATGCTAACTGACAAATGTGTACGACTCTGCCAAGGAGAAAAGTCCCATAGGCCTCCTAAAGTTCTAATAAGAATACAGAATGTATAGCATAGAACCAAGCACATAAAAGCTGCTCACTACATGAACTTTTATTTTTACTTGTTCCCTTCAAATCTCTCTAGCCAAATTACCTGATAATGTATGAGGACTGCATTGCCGTGAGAAAAGCCAACGGCAAACCAAACCCAAAGTAGTAAGGCCAGTTCCTTTCTATGTTTGACAACCGTTGGTGCATTTCAATTCCTGAAAGAATGAAGCAAATACAATTAGATTTCCCCTTTTTATCAAGTAGCTAAGTAACTATGCTAAACAAAATATTAGAGACTTGAGTTTTCAGGACAGATCTACCATTGAGAACACAGCTAAAACATATAGATTAGAATTATACAAATCTGATATAAACCTTCTATGCAAAATTTGTACAGTACAGTAGTCACAAGCTGAGAGGCTAAGTGAATTGCAAATTTCAGCACCAGCTTCCTTTGTCTGGATTAATTTGAGCAAAACAGTATGCTAAAGAAAAAAGATGCCATTCGGCACAAATCTGTTAATAGCTTTTCTTATTTTTTTTTTTGAGACAGAGTCTCACTATGTCGCCCTGGATAGAGTGCCATGGTGTCACAGCTCACAGCAACCTCTAACTCTTGGGCTCAGCCAATTCTCTTGCCTTAGCCTCCCAAGTAGCTGGAACTATAGGAGCTGCCACAACACCCAGCTATTTTTTGGTTGTAGTTGTCATTGTCTGGCAGGTCTGATCTGGATTCGAATCTGCCAGCTCTGGTGTATGTGGCTGGTGCCCTGGCCACTGAGCTACAGGTGCTGAGCCCAAATCTGGTAATATCTTTCAACCACACATACCCAGATAAACATACCAAGGTCTTTTCAAAAGATCCCCCAAAATTGGAATGCTGACGTCAGTTTTGTTTCCTTAATTTAGACCTCAGGCTCATTTATGCCTTGTTACAGCCCAGTCAGAGACATATCACGTGAAGCACCAAAAAGGGAATGATATAAGACTACATCTCCCAGCCTCAAAGTTAACAGTTAAACTCACTAAGCCAAATGTAAGCCCTCTCATGCCAGTGAGGATACTTCCTTCCAAAGATGGATTGCCACAGGCCTAACTATTGAATAGTTTAAGAAGGAATCAGGGCTCAGCACCTGTAACACAGTGGTTACGGCACCAGCCACATACACAGAGGGTCGCGGATTCAAACCTGGCCCAGGTCAACTAAACAACTGTAACAAAAAAAAAGGCCAGATGTTGTGGTGGGCACCTGTAGTCCCAGCTACTTGGAAGGCTGAGGCAAGACAATTGCTTCAGCCTAGGAGTTGGAGGTTGCTGTGAGCTATGATGCCACAGCACTCTACCCAGGGTAACATAGTGAGACTCTGATTCAAAAAATAAATAAATAAACAAATAAGACAACAAAAACATACACTGAGGAAAGGAATCCCTCTTCAATAAACTGAATAGCCACATGTAAAAGACTGAAACAGGACCTGCACATCTCACCACTCATAAAAATTAATTCATAACAGATAATAGACTTAACCTAAGACATGAAACTATAAGAAGTATAGTAGAAAATGATGGAAAATCTCTTATAGATATCAGCCTAGACAAAGAATTTGTGAAGAAGACCTCCAAAGCATGATTAATGACCATGATTATTAACAACCACAAAGGTAGACGTGTGGGTCTAAAAAGGTTCTGCACAGCCAAGGACACAATCAATAGAGCGAACAGACAACCTACAGAATAGGAGAAAATATATGCATGTTATATATCAGCTAAAGGGCTGATAACCAGAATCTACAAGGAACTCAAGCAAATCAGCAAGAAAGGATCAGACCATCCCATTAAAAAGTGGGCAAAAAGGCTCGGCGCCTATAGCTCAACCGGCTAAGGCACCAGCCACGTACACCTAAGGTGGCGGGTTCGAATCCCCAGCCTGGACCCGCCAAACAACAAT